CCTGGATCAGAATCGGGATCGTTACCATGGAGTTATGGGCCTGAGAAATGGTCACCGGGGACGACGACGACGAGGAGTAGTCATAAACCATCATTAACAAGGCAGCTGCCTCTCCGGCGCTTCAGAGCGGTCATAACCATGGATTTTCGACATGGACCTGGACATTGGATGCACTTTTTGATCATCGCAAAGCCAGTTCCCTAGAATCCCAGCTGCCGTGTGGTAAAAGTGTTGACATCTCGCCTTCTTGTGGGGTCTGGTATCTCTGGTAGTGTGTGTTTTTTGGGAATTATGTTGGGTTTATTGCAAGTCTCATTTCGGGTTTGGAGCCGAGAAAATTCGAGGGAATTCGTTACGCTGTGCAGGCAGAGCTTTCTGCTCTAGTTTCTTCTAGTCTTTTTCTATTAAATTTAAGCCGATTAGAGGTCCACCAGGGGTTCCTCTCTTATTACTCCTCTTTTTCTTTCTCTATATGTTGGAAATAAATTGCAGAATGCAGAATGCCTTATATTTTCTTATACTTGTTGCTTCTCTGAAACATTTATCAGGGGTTATTATTTTATTTAGCTTAGAATACTTTGTATAATTTACTCTCAGGGAGATGTGGGGATTCTTCTCTTTATACCCTTCCAAGGGTATTATAATTTTAGTCAGAAGGTTTCAAAGAAGTGAAAGAGTCATTTTCGACTATATAAATCATATATGTTCCCAGAACCCTAACGTATCGACGTGTTGAAATGCATTCTAGCTTCTCTGTTTCCATATCTTTCTTTCTATATCCGTACCCTGGGTTTTTTAACCCCAGTATCATATCGTAATCCCTGTAATCCAACTCGCCAAACCACTGAATCAAGCACATTTTCATGAATGAATGAGCTAAGTGAATGAAATTTCGATTTCCACAACTCCTACACCACAATAGAGAGAGAGATATATGTTTGTGTGTATATAGTATGTGTATTGAGGGGCAACTCAACCTACTCGCGCATGCAAAACACGATTTACTATTAAGGCAAAACTCGCAGACGGAAAAGATCGCGGAGTGGCGAAGTGGAAGCCAGACAACAAACAACTTTTGACGTCGTCGTCGTCGCATAGAAGCAATTGAATCGAGTTGGAGTTGAATGGAGGAGTACCCAGTCGCACAAGTCCGAAGCCCGGAGGAGTTTAGAGTTTTTAGACCCGGCTTCCCATTCATAAATGGCTAAGGCAAGCTGGTTTTGGCAACGTGCTCTTCTGCAGCGGATGAGTCATCTCCTCGGTTTGGCTGGCAATGGGGCACGTGATGCCATCGTCGAGGTGTGTCAATTAGCAGTTAGTTGTTGGAGTTGAAGAGGCGGTCACAGGAGAAGGAGGAGCTGGCTGAGGATGAGGAGTAGGTAATCGCTGGTTGCTTCAGGTCCAGGGCGTGAGTCATCTCTAAGGAGTTAGTTGGGGCAAAAGAGGTTCGTTCCAACAAGAAATAAACTTGAGAAATTGGTTAAATAAACAAGGGAAATATTTGTCGTGTAATTGTAAAGTTTGGTCATTTTTTATTCATTTAAGTCTGAGTTTATTTAACTCGAAATTATATGAATTACAATGCATCTTATTTTTGATATTATCAGCACATTTATTAGTTTTATGTTTTCCTAAAACTAGTTCCCGGGTATTGAAACCACAGTGATCAGCCATCCGGGGGCCAAACGCCTTTGCCAATTTATGAATGAAGCAATTTCCAACTGGTTTTCCTGCGCCGCGGATAGACTCTGTCTGGAGCTCAGATTGAAAGCCAGACGTGGCTGCAGACAGAGACTGGCGGCGACTGGGGACTGGCGACTGGAGGTGGGAAACCCACATGATCCGTTGCCCGCCGATTGTGCGGGTGTCGTCCACATCCACTTTAATACTGTGTATCCACATCCGCTGGCTTCTCTATTAAATGCGGAAGAGGGCGGCGTTCATTTGTATGCGGCACCTCCTCATCCGAGACCCTTGGTCCGACCACATCCAGCTCACGTGCTGGGCGGGATTCTCTCCCAGAGCTCTCTGGTTTGGTTTTGGGGTTGGGGCTTTGGTTTCGGCTTCAGCTTCGGATCGGAGTTCTGGGTTTGGCATTGTCGGCGGCTCGCTTTGTGGCGCCCACAGCCGCGTGCCGCTTTGATTAATTATGCGGTGCAATGTGGCCACCTCCTCTGCCTCTGCCCTTGCCTCCTGCTCCTGCTGCTGCTGCTGCTCCCCTACCCTTTGAATGGTTAACTGTCATTGTTCTGGCATATTTGTGTGGTTCATTCGGCCGTGGCTGCCACACACAACAAGTGACCCAATTATGAGGACATCGATGAGGAGTATCTGGACGTGGCTGATGTTTGTCCATGTTTGATAACAGCACCATGTCATTATTATCTTTGGTTAAACATCTTTGTGTTTGTGAGTGGCCACTGAAATTCGGTTCACGGTTAATTAATATTCCAAGGATTATTTAACATTTTGATTAGAGAAATCTATTAAAATTTGAGTTTCTCTAAAGAGAAACTTAACTAACAAACTTCTGGCAAAGCCAAGCTTTACATTTTCCATTAAACCCGTCTCTTCTGCCTGGCTAAACTTATCCTTGGCTTGATTTCTCGGCTGTTCGCCTACTTGTTCTTATTTTGTTACAATTTATCTGCGTGGTCGGCAAATTTTCCTCGAAAGTTGCAACAAAGTGGCGAAAACAGCCGCCAGGAGAAGGCTCTGCGAAATTTTACAGTCACTTAGATGGCGGCCACACGGGGCCAGAAGTCCGTTTACAGTAGATGAGCCTTAACCCTCAAGGTCACAAAAGTACCTTGAGTCACATTACATTATTCACAATTCCAAAAATAATAAATAACTTAAGAAAAAATTATTTTATTTTATAATATAAGGAATAATTGAGGAAATTTTGTGGAAAAGGGCACTAGAGGGTTAAAAATCTCAGACAAGATGCCGTCAAACCTTTCGTGGAGTTGTACACTAGACAAAAATTAGTACAGAAATTAATTTCTGGGATTATTTTCAATTTATAGTCCCTTTTATAAAACATATTTTTGGTAATTGTCATACTTAAAAAGTAATTTATAAAATATAACTTTAATTCAAGAAACTATTTTCCCTAGAACAGATTTTTTTATACTAAGGGCAGGTGGTTTGTTAATGCCACAGAGGAGGGGGAATCAATGTCAGGAGCAGAGGAGCTGGGCACGAGCGCCACAGCAGCTGCTGTCCGAAATCCGAATAGACAGTGGACAGCGGCTAATTCCTCGCCTCCTCGTCCGGCGAAAAGGCAACAATGAAAAATGCACAACGCACAGGGTGAAGGTCAGATTTCGGGCAATCAAACACAATGGACAATGGCCGGCAAAACAGGCATCGTTTTGAATATGAAATGAGATTGGTAGCCGAAAGACTGACTGGCCGTAGGTGGACTCCAATTACCCTACGGCAGCTGGAATCGCCTCGGATTCAGAATCGGATTCGCAATCTCCTCGATCTCGATTTATCTTTCAATCAATGGCAGCTGCCTCGTCTCACTCTCTGGAGTGCGCCAATTTTCAATCCCAAACGTCAATATTTGCCTGGACTCCCAGACAGAGATTCGGGTAGATTCCAGGAATGCCCTCTGCTTTCGGGTGAATAACAAGTTGGATTATTTTATTTTAAAGGAGAAGGAGTAGCCCAAAAAATTCCCTTTACTCTTATAACATAAGATATTTTAGATAAAATATCGAATTTAAAAATTCATGATTTTTCTATTTCATAAAAGTGACCATTTAAAAATTTAAAAACTGCTTTCGAGTGACTAACAAGTTGAAAAGGTGCCCTTCATTGTTATTAACATAAATATTTTTAATTAAATATTAAATTTAAAAAATGAAGGATTTTTATCTCATAAATTGAACCATTTAAAACATTTAAAAACCTTTTCTTATGATAATTTGTATACCTTCTTTCACTTTGAACCTGAACATCCCCCATATCTTGATGGCCAATTATCTCTACCTTGCCAGATATTCCCAACTTGATCCACTGGGAATCAGACACGTTATCGCCAGCTTTTTATCGTGCCTCCGACGAGGACGAAGCCGCCCAAAAGGAGCCGCGTCATCAGCGCAGATTGAAATAATTCCGAGTTGCCAACTTGCCAAGTCATCACCGAATTGGCCAGCGGGCGCAGCCTGTGATCTTTGCCAGAAAACTTCTCAGAGGAGAAGGAGCGAGCGGAGATCGCGTGCGATAGTCAACGTCAATATTTGTGTTTATTTCTGGCCGTTCCGGCGGGATGATGATTATGAGGTCCTTGTTAGGCCGCTTGGATTGGCGGCGCTTTCGCTTTGAGGTCGCGCACAAGTGGCTGCCCAATTTGCGCTCTGTTTGTGTATCATTTTGTGGGCCTGGCTAATTGTTTTGTGCCCTCGAAGATCGGCTACCTGACCCGATCTCGATATTGCTCGACGACGGCTTTATTTGCTCTGATTTCCGTTTATTTTTGTGGCTGGAGATGTGGGAAACCAGCAACCAGGCTAGAAATTTAGCAAGTGCACGAAGGTTTACGTTAAATTTTTTTGTTTACTGGGAAATTTTGTAGGGGGCTTATTAAATACTTTAATATCGTGAAAGAGATTTCTACACGTATCTGAATGAATGATGTTGTAGCTAGGATAGGTGCTCCAAAGGTGTCCATCTTGAAAGCCAACGAAACACTAGCATTCTGTCACAATTTAACTCGAGTTGGCAGTTTCTTTTTTTGTCTTTTTCGAACTTTGACAGCTGTTGTACTATTTTACTTGCATATTTATTCAATTAAACCTGAAAAAAGCTCTTAAAATAAATTTTTATGAAATATAATTTACTGAAAACTATTTATTTTGTTAAATTTTCAACTTTAAATAAAACTAAAATTAAGTTCCATCTCGAAAGCACGTGCAACCTTGTCTCACGCTTGCATTCTGTCACTATTTGGCCAAAGTTGGCAGACTTTTTCTGTCTTTTCGGAACTTTGCATGCTTTTATCCGGTTGTGTGAATCGTTTTACCTGTGAAATACAACAATTAAACCTGAAAAAGTGTATAAAATGGATTTTGATGAAATACAAGTCGCCGAGCAGTCATCTAAGTAAGTAAATAATACACTAAATCCATCAATAACTGCCATTAAAAGCTAATTTTCAGTGGCGAAAACAGCGTAGAGCTCATTCAAAGTGCAGAGCCCATAAAGGAACAGCCAAAAAAAGGCGAGAAGTCACTGTTGCAATCTGTGTTGGATAATAATCTAAAGCATGAGGTAATATTATAAATATTAAAAATATTTACATATATTAAAAATATTTTATATATTCTCCCCTCAGGACGTGTCAAACCAATGGCTTCAGCTGTATGTGAAAAATCCTAATGCCGCTCTGGTTGAAATACTGCAATTGGTGGTGGAGGCCAGTGGCAGTCATTATGAGATTCCCAAGAGCACCACACGACCCTTTGTTTACAGGGACATCTTGGAGGCGAGCACCGAACAATTTCGATCGGTAGGTTTTAGCTGGGATTGATTAGGTTTGATCCCCAAATATCAATACATCTCTTGTAGGTGAGCAATTATTATCCACTCATAATGAAGGACACTGCCCAGGACTTTGAGCATAGGGTCGGAGATTTTGTCCAGTGTCTTCTCAAGTTGGTCCATGTCACGCCCCTTATTTCCGATCAGGTTTTCCTCTCCGAGGTGACGGGCTTTGTGATGGCCTGCTCCGAGTCCAATATGCGTCCAATACGCCACACCAGCACAATGATAGGTGAGTTTGTATCAAAATGATTATTTTCTTATAATTTAAAATTTATATATTTATTTATTTTTAATTTGAATCTTTGAAAGGTCTTAAAATGATGACTGCCTTGAATGATTTTCCCCCTGTGGCCAACAAAGATGCACCACTGAAGAGACTCTGGCTGCGTATGTTTGATTGCCTCTTTGTGGCCCGACACCTGGATGTGGTGACCGGAATCAGGCTGCTTTGCATCACTGAGTTGAATCTCTGGATGATCAAATATCCCAAGGGAAATCTACAGTCCAAAAATCTTCGCTACTTCTATGAGGGCCTGAGGGATAACTTTGGAATTGTGAGGAAGTTCTGCCTGGAGAGTCTCATAGATTTAACTTGTTGCAAACTAGAGCTTCGCGAAATTTCTCTGGAGTTAGCCATTGAGTACCGCGACTTGATCCTGCTCACCTGCGTGGAGCGGGAAAGTGAACTGGGGGAGAGTGCTTTAAACCTATTGAGCAATCTCTATCAGTATTCGTCAACAATCCTGAGTAACGTAGATTGCCGACTGCTGGATCAACTAATGTTTGCCGCCAATCGTGGCTTGGCGCTTGCGGCCGCGGGTCTCTTTAAGCTGCGCTGGCTGAATCCTCAGAGGGGAGCCTCCTCCTCCCAGATAATCCATCGCCTGCTGGATTTTTTTGTGCGCTACGTTAAGCATGAGCATGCTGCTTATTTGGTGGATTCCCTTATCGATATCTGTGAACTGATTCTGGATTGGGAGATCATGGTCGATATGCTAATGAAGGACCAGGAGGAGTCGGGACTGAGCCCAGGGGAGACCTCGACTCTCATTGAGATTCTTTGCCGCGGCGTTAAGCAGGCTATTACGGGGGAGATACCGCCGGGCAGGTACACCAAGGACCTGGTTAGGTTGCCATTGCCAGAATCTCAGCTGCGAGCCACACAGATTCTGGCGCCCATTCTGTCGCAGCTCCTGTCGAAGCATTTGTCTAGTTCTCATGATTTGGAGAATCTCCTGGAGCTGCCGCAGCACTTCCACCTGAACTACTACCGGCAGGAGGAGAACATAGATCAGCTGGATCTATTGATCAGGCAAATAAAGGCCATTATGTATAAACAGGACCGAAGCTTGGTACTGCGAATGGGAGCCCTGACCCTGGTGCATCTCAAGGGCATACCCCTCGTCAAGTCGCATCTCCAGGAGCTGCTCAACACGGCGGTGTTTAACTACAAGATGGCCCTGCGCACATGGCAGCAGATGTACGGCACTCCCAGCTTGTCATCGCCGCGAGCTTCATCCCGGTCTTCGTCTCCGGGTCATAACCATCCCAGGAGCCGGACACGCAGCCTGCTGGGCTCGCTGCGCCTGATCTCGGCTCTGTATAGATACTTTGACCTCAGTAATTTCCACCTGACGTCGTCGGTTCTCTCCAGTTTGAAGCGGGTGTTCAAGGATTACGATCAAAGGCCGAGCAGGGACCGGGACGACCTGCCGGCGGAGGCCACCACCCAGTATCTGGAGGTGTGTTTTTACAGCCTCAACTGGGATTTGCGGAGCGTCAAGAGAGAGGATGATAACCGAAGCGATCTGGAGTTGGAGGAGTCTTGTGCTGCCCTGAAAAAGCACCTGGAGGACTATCTAACTGTGGCCTTGGACCTGGTGGCCAAGGGAAATCCAATGCTGGACCACGATGTGAGTAAAACTATCTTAGGAGTCAGTCAAATATTTCGCTTTTAAGGTCTCCTCCCAGAGCTTTGGCACCATCTGCGATCTGTATGTCGTGTTTGCTGATCCACTGCTCCAGAATCCCAGATCCTTTGTGCGCTCACTACGATATGAGCCGGCGGTTAAAGAGTTTGACTTGCTGGAGACGTTTGTCCTGAACTATCTCTTTGCCGGTAGACAGCCCCAGGACCTGGTTAAGGAGTCCCACTTTGACGAGCTGCAGCAAAAGCGTTACATCCTCACGGGCTACTGCAAGCTTGTGGCTTTCAATGTGATTCCGAGCATGCGTTCCTGTAAAGTCCTGCAGTATTACGACAAGGTTGGTATTGTTTTCGAGAGGTTTTCCCCAAAATATGTTCTGTGCTTCTCCCAGTACCATGCCGCCTTTGGGGACATCATGCGCGCTTCCATGGAGCGGGCCATGGACATTAATCCTGTGAACTACGGTATGACCATGCTGCACACCTGCCTGCTGCCATTCGAGCGAATTATGACCGATGTCAAGCATGATGGTGTCAGGGCCATGAGCACCATGGAGTTCCGTCAGCTTCTTAACTTAGCTCACCGTCTTGGGGAGATTTTTTACATGGATCTCCTCAAGAATCGTCATAGTGTCAATGCCCTCCACAGAGCTGGTATCTTGTATGTTGTGGAGTCGACATACGATGATGCGCAAACAGCTGCTCCAAAGAATTTACCTTTCCTCGATGTTCTCAAGGAGTTTGTGCCACATCTACTGAATCAGGACAGGGTCAACGTTGCCAAGTTCCTACAGCGCATCGAGATGCCGTCGCTGCCGTCGGTCAACAGGGAGGAGTGGCAGCCATTGGAGGATTATCGTGGGGCTTTGGTAACCAAAAATTAGTATTGAAGAGGTTTCTGAATCTTAAATAATATTAATTATGATGAACGGTTGAATAAAGCCTAAATACTGGTTGAGATGTAACAGGAAAAGTGCTTCAAAGGCACATCCTTATCTCTTTTTCAGTTTATTTGCAGTCGCTTCATTTTCAATTTTTATAATATTATTTTGCCAGTTCTATTCACCTTCCCAAATGGGGTTTCCCTGGGAAGAAAATGACACGAAACTTTTCCTGTCACTCAAATGGCCACAAAAGATTGCGTAATAACGCCCTAGACCCAAACCCAGTCCCAGTGTATCTTGTATCCTGTATCTTTTATTTGGAGGCTGCAATTCAGACACTCAGTCAGCTGCCGTTGGCATCGAGTTACTAAGAGTCCCATTCATATCGCTGGCTGCTCGGCAATTTTCAATTCCAATGCCCGTTCGCTGACAAATTGACTCGCACAACCTTGTGGGTTCAGTTCACGCGGAAGGAGTCTTGGATTTCTTTTGGCTGTCGAAAAAAGGCTGCACGAGCCAACGACACGGCCTTTGACACCCTCCTCGGAATCGAAATGGGATTGAATGGACAGGGGAAGGAGGAGAAGAGTCCAAGCCCAAGGTGTTTGCTGCATTTTGGAAACGAAACTAAATGAAATTCAAGTGGCCATTGGGTCACTTCTGGTTTTGGTTTTCAAGTGCTTGTCGCTCTGCCTGTCCATTTCCTTGGCACATGCCAAGTGGTGGAGTATCCGATTACGTCCTCGTGGGTGTGGGGGGAAACCTAAAAACTTCCACTTTCGCAGATTCCATGCGGCGGCGGCAGGACACGCAGCTGTGGGAGATGCTAAGCGGAACATTCCTGCGTCCATCAAGCACACGGTGGATCGGGATCAGAATAGGTCGATTGGGGCAGCAACATCTGGGCATACTGATCTTAATTGGAACATCTCTTTGAAGGGGACACACTTTGCTTACTTATGCACTTTGAGAAATTAAGGGTAAAAATGCGGATTAAATTTAAAATAAATGTATGAGAAGTAACACATTTATTAATTTTGCATTTAGGAAAAAAATACAAATAAATTACTTTAATTTTTAAACAATATTTGTTGATTGCTTGTCTCTTTGATGAATTCTAAAAACAAGAAAACAAAGGTCTTGATCAACCGGCGTTGTTTTCTCCAGTGTACCTGGACAGGTAGCAACGAACCGAGAAGAACCGAGCCTTTCCTGGTCCCATCAATTTCGCGTAACGGGCTGCAAGAACCGCTAGGCCATGGCAATTGCATTTCACGCTCTCCTCCGATCTCCTGCGATCTGCGATCACCGATCCGGTGCCGCTCCGCCAACGGAACCTGATCACAGATGTCCTGACGGCCAGATCCGAATCTCCCTCGGTTGCGGTTTAACGAGATGTGCACCCGCCTCCTCGACACACGCCTCCACCGAGGAGGGAGCAGAGGAGGAATCTCCCCTTGGACGATTTGTTGGCCCTGATAAACCCGACGTCTCGCGAGGCGAAAGTGTAGCACACAATTCCGAGACACGCGCATCTGTCGCTCGGCTTGAGTTTCGGACGAAACACAACTGTTTCGAGCAGCCGAAAAACTGAGGACTGTCTTTGCAAAAAAATTCAAAAAAGGAGTTTAAATACCAAAGAGGGGGCGACACGTGGCACTTGATTCGTATCACATTTCTGGACTATTTCGGGAGTTTACATTTCGGCAAGGAAGGGTTCCTCCTCTCTTTATATATATATATGTTATATACCTTTTTTTTTTGTTAACTCCTCCATGCCAACTGTCAACCCATTTGGCCGATATTTATGGCCAGTTGCCGTTGGGCATTCGGTTACTTTTGCTGTTGCAACTGTTATTAACATGAATTTATAGCTTGTTTCGGTGTTTTTTCGGCTGAAAATTTGAATTTTAAGCGTACAAAGTGTGACCACACCGGAGTTTTAGCGCTATTAAGGCTTAAAAGGGTTAAAAGTGTTGCCAGGTCATAGGAAATATTGCTAAAAGGAATGAGGAATTTGAAAGGGCACCCAGTTAGGTAATCTCAACAGGATTTCAAATCGAATTAAATTTTAAATAAATAAAAAATAATAAGGAATTCAATTTTATTTTATATTAAAATATATATAAATTCCATTTCATATTTTAATAATTTTCAAGGAAAAAGCATAAAAACGCTAAGAGGCCTGGGAAACCTGGAGTTCTCCTCAATATTGTAAATGAAAATTTAAGAATATTTCAAAGGGGTTTTATTTATTTTTATTTATATTCTTTTGTATATATTTTAAAAATAGTATATATATATTTATATAGAAAAAAAAAGGTTAATAGGTGGCTTGTAATTAAGGGCTCTCAACCTAATTTCCTATCATTTATCAACCTCTTCCAGGACCCTTTCCCAGTTCCCCACTCCAGTTTTTGCTTTGAAAAATCTCTTTCTAATCGCCTGGAGTGCAGGCAACATCAACATCATCAACAATATTAACTTAACCAAATCCCCGTGTTGGCCCCGTCAAGTTGCGTGTAAAAACATGAATTCCTCGATTCATCATCGCGACAGGAGGTCGGCCGGTCTGTCGAAAGGACAGAGCCTTGCGGGTCCTCGCCGCGGTTCCATTGATAAATGCCAAAAGAAATTTGTCGATTGTCAATCAGAGGATCTTGAGTTTGAGTTTGAGTTTTGGGCTCGAGGTGATCCTTCGACTGACAGCAAACACGCGGTGTGTGTTGTCCTGGCTGGTGTTTTTGTTATTGTCGCTTCTCCTGCTGTCGTTCCTGCCTAATGTCTTGGCAAACAAGAAGCGCGCCGCTCCTGGCGACGACTTCTGCCCCGGTAGTCCCGTGTCACCGTCCCCGTCCCCGTCTCCTTTCCCTTCCCCTGACATGTCCTGTAAATCGGGCTGCCTGTTTACAAATGTGTCGCCATCGCGTAACTCAATCCTTGCCGCGCGGCTAGCACAGGATGCGCTCGACAGCCGTCGCCGGCTTGGCAAACCAATAAATACCATTTAGATGTTTCCTTAAGAAGGACTCTTGCCCCCTGCCCCTGTGATGCTTCCTAAAACACTGGGGGAAAAATATATCTATAGGTTTTTGTATGAACAAAAATATTTTATAATAAATATAAAATTATATACAATTTTTGAAAACTTGAATGGGTATATTAAATGAAAATAATATTTTTTAGAGGAAAGAAGAACAGGTTAAAAAAAATCGTAATCAAAATATTCCCTAATTCCCGCTGAATGTATTATCAATAATTCCAGATAAAGTTGACTTTACTTAATCTATTCCTATTTATTTATTATTAAATCCTTTAAATTATTTTCGGTGCTGCCTGTGTGTCAACACAGTCATGTGTGTGTTGGCATGTCGCCGTCCTTAACACATGTCCTTTGACACAGACGCACACGCAGCACAGTGTCTGCCAAGGACAAAGGTTCCAAGGTGCAGCTGAACTCGCGCAGGACACGCATAAATTAACGAATCCGCTGCGCTGATTGCAGCTCTAATCCCCTGATCCTCATCCCAGTCCTGATCCTGCACCTTTTGGCCCCATTAGCACGCGTCCTCCACGCACGCGTTCAGTCGCCACTTGAAGGGCCAAACGAATTTCGACTCCATTCCGGCGGGATCGGTTCTGGAGAGACCTCCTTGGCTCAAGTGCCAAGGGTTAAAATTAGTCGAGCCCTGTCAGCAAATCTGATTTACGCGCCAGCTGCTTCTCCAGCAGAGGTCCTTTTCCCATTCCTCTTGGAGAAATCCCAGCCTGCTTCAGCTTTTCGGAAACGCCGCCTCTCTCTTTTTCTCAAATTATAATTTTAGTGGCAATCTAATTAAGCAATTACAAGCGTGTTGTTCAGTGGAGTCGCTGATTTATATGGATATAGAAAAGGGGGAAAGATGTGAGGAGAAGGAGAGGGACAGATGTTGTGCCTTTGAATCTCTAGAGAATTGGAAAAGAGATTTTGTTTATTTAAATATTTCCTTGTGGGTTTTCCTGGATAGTTGGGAATAGTTTTGAGAATTAAATAAATAAATATAGCACTTCTCCAACTAAAATAATTTTTCTACTTCTAAATAGTCTAAAAAATTCTTTGTTTCTCCTAAAACAGAAACCTTTTGGTTTCTCCTCTCCACTCCATTAGCTTTACAAAATATGAAGGTCTTCTGACCTTCCCTGGACACTTGACACACACAGACAGGAGGCGACAGTTCAATTAAATGCGATATTTACAACACCTGACACGGACCACAAACTGGACAAATTAGTTGACAGCCCGCCACATCGACCGATGACCACAGATGGTCAAGGGTCAAGTGCTGCTCCTAGTTGCCACAGATGCACTTTCCAAATGCAGTGAAAAGGAAAAGTGTGTGGAAATTAATTACCATATCCATCGATATTTCTTCCCTCTTCCAATATCTCCAGACGCACATCCCCAAGGATTAATCATGCGCGGAGACATAACTTTCGGTGAGATTTTTAATGACTGCGCCTGCTGTCATCGCTGTGATCGTAAAAACTCCCTGGCCTCCGGAGGCCATCAAATAGATTTATTATTGAAAATATTTTGCCTGTCTCCGGGATTGTTTGGGGTCCTGTGACACAAGGATGAGGCAGGATGAGGCTGCCCAAAGCAAATGTTGTGTTAAATTTATTTTTATTGCACTTTTGGCCTTTTATGATGAGTCGCCGCCCTCGGTTTTCTCTGTTTGGGATATATTGTTTAGACATTTTCCGGGGCATTCGATTTCGATACAGCGCGAGGCTCGTAAAATGGCAAATGGTCAAACATTAGGAATTTCTTGGGGGAGCAGCAGCTGTTCCCCTTCCCCAGTGTCTCTGGAAAATCAATAACTTGCAATCAGTATGCCACAGAAACAGAAGCTCTTGCCCAGTAGCCAGTAGCAAGTTCTCCATATCGATTGATGTCCGTTTGTGCCGCCGACAATCCTGCACTACTAATTAACCCTTGTAGTTCCGAGAGATGGATGATGACAAAAAAAAAAAAAAGAGGGGAGAGCGGGAGATGAGGCAGAAGGAACAACACACAACACCTTTACACATAATTAGGGGCCTGTTGACTGCACCCGGCATGGGATATGTGTGTCTATATGGAAGGTAAACACATGTCTTCCCCAAAAGCCACTGAGAAAAATGTATTAGAAAATTGGTTTCTCTAGACTTTAATAATTACATAGATTTCTTAGAGGATATCATTATTTTGCTATATCATAAATTTGTTATTTTCTGGAACTCTCTCTGAATTCTAATTAGTGTGCTAGCTCCTTAAATTTTTCCTCAGTGTACGACTCACCTTCTACTTATCCCCAAGCACCTCCAGCCTGAGCTTCACCGGAGCTGTTACTGCTGCCATTCATTAATCCACATAGAAATGCCAATGCCAGAGAGAGATGCTGATGGAGATGGTGATGCTGGAGCACTGGCTGCCGCCTGGTGGTGACCAAAGGCGGCACAACAACAAAGCGGCCAAGAGGCCTATTAGCCACAATAAAGAGGCATCTCCACCTCGTCTCCTCCCCTCTGAATGGAGATTCTATTATGCAGATGAATGGATGTGGGACTGTCTGACTGACTGACAGACTTGACTAGAGATGTTTGTATGTTTGCCCCGCCAGATGCCATTACAATGTAAACCCGACAAAAGTTCACTCGGCAAACTGGATGCGGGCTGGAGAGACGTCTTCATCTACGAGGCAGAGGCGATGGCATAGGCACTTCCAGCCACCGCAGCGGAACAATTGATCAAATATCATAATTTATCAAATGACAATGCAACAGGCGGCGGCCTCTGAACGTTTCCATTCCCGTATTTACTTGCCCCAATCCCCACACCATCTCCGATCTCCGATCTTGGATCGTTCTCCGTTCTCCATGGCATTCGAAAGCTACAACTTAATTTATTTGAACAATTTAGGTCTGTCGTCTGTCGTGTGTTTGGGGTTCTCTTATTTATTTCGATGGTCAGTCCGATCGGCCCCAATCTATTTAGCATAATTGCAGAGAGAGAGAGACAGACCCATTGCATTCTTGTGACCCCACAGGCTAGGGTTTGTAATCCTAGATAGACCCACTGGCTCAAATAACCGAATTAAAAGGCCAGAGAAAATATTGGGACAAACCGATTATTGTTCTATTATGGTAAACCCGATCATCGCATTAGTTCTTATCTTACTTTTTAGGGGGTTTCTCTGTGTGGAACTCGGAAACTGTGTCATGTTTGATCACAAATTGATCAATTAATGGGCCAAGGCATTGATTTCAGCGACCTGGTTGGTCTAAGAGATTTTGTAAGGAATTTAAATAATATGTATTTTAATTTTACTTTATTAAAGAAAACTAGTTTTTTTTTTATCGAATAATTTTTGTTCGAAACATGTAACCTGCGCCTTTGCTCTCCACCAGAATTTGTAGAAATTTAGTTAATTATTGTATTTATAGAATAACAAGTCCAAAATTCGGTTGGTTTATATATTTTTCGCATTTCCTTTCGGAGTTTCCTTTACTATTTGACATGGAAAAATTCGAAAAGGCCAGAAAGCTGCAGGAACTGGCCGGAGTTCCCTCGCCGGCTCTCACCCGCTGCTGCTGCAACTGCAAACGAAAACTGGATCCCTACCAGCTGTTCGACGACAATGTGGAGGACATAGCCAAGAGCCTGGCCCAGATAATGGTGATCTGCGGCATTGGTACCTGCAAGTCCCGCATGGCCAGGGGGATTATCAAGCGCGCCTTTGTCTATCACGAGCGCCTGCGCACCAACTGCCCCCCAAAGCCGGCACCGGGAACACACCTGAATCGCGAGGATCTGCTCCAGGCGCTGCGACTGAAGTGCGAAATGGAGCCTGTCGAGGCAATGCTCTCGTACTCGATCATCAAGCGCGCCTTCAAGGCCTTTTACCATGGAAAACCACCGGTGACAATAAGCAATCCCATTGTGGATGCCATGGCAGTGCACACCCAGAAGCAGGCGTGGATGCACGCCGCCTACAAGACCGCCCGCATCTTCGACAACTACAAGGCGGCTTTCTTCTGGGCCCACCAGCACTACGAGCGTCAGATTAACCTGGTATACACGGCCCTGTACCAGCGGATGACGGCCAGATCGGATCCGCTTCTGGTGCCCGGCTGCCCGTGCAAGGGCTGCTCCAAGCAGGAGGTTCCCGGTCATCCCAAGGCGGGCCAAAGGCCGATGCAGAAGATCACCCTGTCGGAGGGTACGGATATGCCGGAACCCTGCATTATGTGCGGCTTGCAGATGCCCCGGATGAACGCCGAGGATGTCAAGATGAAGAGGAAGCTGCCGCGACCCATCATCAACCACGAAATGAACCTGCCGCGGTGCCACCAGTGCAACTCGCCGTTCCTGATCTGCGAGTGCAACATTGACCAGCTGACCGGCGAGCAGTTTGGGGAGTGTGGCCAGGATTCGTACAAGGTGAAGTGGTATCGCGTCGAGGAGCCACCGGTCCGTGCCAAGGACAGCAGCTATGAGGAGACCTTGGAACCGTCGGAGGACTGGGACAACCACCACTGCCCCATCGACTGCAAGCACGACTCCTGCAGCGAGGCCACAAACGTTTGCCAAGGCACCTCCCCCTCCACCTCTGAAGGGGAGAGCGGGTCGGCCTTTGCCAGCTGTTCACAGGGCGAAGAGGACATTGTGGCCAAGCTGGAGGACTATCTCAATAAGCTGTGGAACGAGGAGGTGGCCCAGAAGAGGGATCCCTCGTATGTGCCAAAGACCATCGAACCGCCGGGACCCAGTTGTCAAAAGTGCAAGGACTGATCCCTGTAAAGGTCTCGGTTCGCTTTCTGCGTTTTAAATTTTTGTCACATCAAAAAAAAAAAAAATAAATGGTTTAGAATCCTCAGAGGTTCCCCTATTAAATGTGTCTTTACGGGAACCAATCCCAAATGATTTTATTGCCAGTTTCCTAGGCCTCTCAAGTCCATCTGTGGCTCCTTCAGCACAGCTTACACCTCCCACACCTTGGGGAACCGATCGCCCACACGGCAGGGAGCTGGCGCTTATCACGCGCCCACAGATCGCACCTTGACAATGGCCACTTAAAATGCCATTGCCGGTTGTAATCGCCTCTAAATTGCCGGCACATTCTCTGCTCTGGATGGATGCTATTGTTGTCATCGCGAGCACCTAAGCACCTCAGCCTTCCCAGCTCCCAGGAGCTTCCACATAAATCGCTGGCGTTATCTAGGCACTTGCATCTCTGCTGAACGCTGAACAGAGCCACAAAGCTCGAGGCGGATCCATGGTCTTCCTTGCCGCTTATCAATCTCAGCTCATCTGCACGCAGAACAGAACTGAACGAAGTCGGATTCGGATTCAGAATCGCAGTTGCAGTTGCAGTTGGAGTTGGAGAACATCTTCTGCGAAAAATAATTCCGCAACTTGTCACATTTTGTAAAGATTCAAAGTCGCTGCTGAGAGAGGCTTTAAGCTGCAGACGCCTCTGCGCCAGGGATTTCAGAGTCCTTGACTGTCTTGGGATACAACTAGTTGTACAGGGTATTGAATGGTACATTATACATATGAATTATGAATTTCTATTTAATAATTTAAGATACTTTTAGTACTTTTCAAAGATATCTGGACTTTGTAAATTCTAATAAGGGCTAGGTTATCCCAATATATCCCGGTATTAGGAAAATATATTCTACAGATTATTTAGCCCGAAAATATATGAACATGTTTTATGTAGTTTTTTTGAGCCTCATAACATATGCCCCATAATCATTCTATTTTAAAGGGTATACTTAAGTTCGAAATATTTGGAATTGCCTTCACTATTTTTGGCTAGGCTCAAGCTCACCCTCTCTGACGCTGTGGCATGTTAAGCTGAAGTCACATTTGCATATAGATTTATTTTTATGGCCACTGCCATGAACTATTTATGTGTGACGATCGGATCGGAAGGGGGGGTTTGGGGATTTTTGGCCCTCCTGAAGTTCTGGCTCTTGCCCAACGGTTTTTTCTCCATTAAATATTTGGAAATATGCATTGGAAAATCTCTTGCCAAATTCTTAATTGTGATATGCTCACATTAGGTTTCTCTATTACCCCAGATATTTTCAGATTTCTGATGTGTCTCCCATTCCCTCTTCCACTTGCAATCCCTTCAGTGTGAGTATGGGGTAAACAAAGACTCACACTCTATTGAGGGCCACTTTTCAGATTTTGGGATGGGGAAAGATTCTTCCGAGATGCTGGAAACCATTGAACTTTTCAATAGCCATCAAATTTGCGTCTAATGCGAACTCAGAGGCTTGGATAGTTCCCTCCATCGTCGAAGATTTTATGTTATGTGCATTCGATGGGCACACTGCAGCCACTCGAAGTTCACTTTGATTCTTTCCTACGAGATGCACTTGAAGAAAAAAAAGGGTTGTTGGTGAAGCTTACTTTAAGCTTAGTTTCAAGTTGAAATTCCCAACTATTTTTTCTGAATATATGCTTAAGGTTTACTTCTTTTAGAATTCCCAAAAATAATTTGACTTCTACAAATTGTCCATTGGTTTTTAACAGTGTTTTCTATTCTCTTCCGATCTGTTCCATTGTTGTGGGCCTGAAACTTAATAGTCTTTTTATAGCTGCACTTTTTCAACTTCAATTAATGAAGTGTCGAGTTGTTAACACCAAAACACACGCGGTACTCCCAACGGAGCAGCAGCAGCAGTGGACCAAGCGTCCCGTTCCGTCTATTTCCAAACATTTGCGAGCTGGGAACAAACTTTGCCGCCGCCGCCGCCAGTGCTGCTGCTGCTGCAGGTTGCAGGTGGGGCAGCGAAATGTAAACAAACAAATTAAAACGAGCATCGACAGCAGCCGCCGCCGACTCCGCCACAGGTGAGAAAACGGGCACACACAGGGTATTTTGAATTGGTAAAAAAGGGGCCGAAGGGAAAATGCATTTTCACGGCAGCGCCAAAAGCAAACAAGCCCAGACCGAGCACAAGTCTTTCGGCCAGAAGCTCTTTTTTTAATCCCAAAAACTTGGCTGCCACTTAGTGGTTTACGACGAGGCTGGGTCTAAGGATAGGAGCAGAATGCCTCTTAAAGTATTTAGATAGAGATAGAGGGCCCTCTATCTTGCGCTTCTGTTTTCTTTTTTTTTTGGCGACACTTTGTCGTGATTGAGTTGTTAAAGTTTGATGTGTGACTGAAACGAGGCTTGCACAGTGGTGAAAAATTAAGAGGATGTGGTTTTAAATGGGAAAAATATGTATAGAAATTAAATTAAATTATTAGTAGGATGTTGTGTTAAAAAAAAAGGAAAAATTTTATAATCTAAAGCAGAACAAGTCCACATATGGCTCATTATAACAAGTTAAAACCCCTTACAATAATTAATTTATTAAACGAAATATACTGGAATTTTTCCACTATCTATTTCTATTTGCTCCACAAGGCTTGCAATTCCCAATTAATTTTTCCCAACGTCGTCACACATTCCCCTGGCAAAGGAAAGGTCCCCCTTGTTTATTGACCATTTAGTACACTTCTCACATCATCCCATTGTGGTTCAGTTTGCCCTGCTGCTTCACGGTGTCCAGAAATATCAGAAATCAGTGTGGGAAAACAGTTGGAGCGTCAACTGAAGCGCCGCTGCTTCCCCACTCCAGGAATGTTTTCCCAAAAAAAAAAAGCAAGAAACTCCAGAGAAGGCAGCCGCCAACGCAGAGTTGGAGCTGGGAGTTGTGAGTGAGAAAAATGTTAATGATAAACCTGTTTGTCAATTAAACAAAAATATTGTAATAGTTGATAACAGAATGGGCAAACACGAGAGAGAGTGAGATGATGAGAACTTCCCAGAACCGAAATGGGAATCCAGCAGAGCAGGGCACCCGAGGGTGCTGGTGGGGAGTCATCGGGCAACAAGGGACAACCTGTCAACTCGAAGGGTCCAAGGCAAGGCCCTCTGGACTTGGTCCGATGTGCTTGTCTTTGGTTTCATTATCGCCTCGCCTTCAACTTACTTTTTTCCTCTTTTTACCATGTCCCCGTCCGAGATTGGATAATGCAGAGAAAGAAAAATTAGGTGGGAAAATGTAACAAATATTACTAAGGGGAAAATAATATAAAACCTTTCAAGATCTTTATTTGTTATACAAATTTTCCTTCAGAGACAAAATTTCCTTTAAACACAAGTATCCAGTTATTGTAGATTGTACTTAGAACCATCTCAGCCTGATTTCTCTCAGTGCAAAACTCCTAGCCAGTTGTCCGCTGTGGCTTATTGTTTAGTGAAGCATTTAACTTATAAATATTGTGTTGTGTGTGGCGAGAAGAAAAGTGTTTTGTGCCCGTGATACCGTTTTGAAAGACATTCCGAGCCGGGAAAGAGATGTGAGATTTGAGGGGAAATGGGGAGCACATCTTGGGCACTTGACTCCTCACCCAGAACCCAGAACTGGCAACGCCGTGAAATATTTCCCATGACAATTCTGTTTGTTTTTCGTGCATTGTGTGAGCCGCCCCGCCTGGAACATCACCTGGACCCACCACTATATTCCACCTTATCCCACATTTTCTGGACGGCACCTCCTTGTCATGTCTTGTCGCCCACTCGTTCGCGTCCGGAGCTGCCCACTCCACTCTGCTGGCATCTCCGTCTCCATCTGGAATGGTCCACAATGGGGAACAAGTTCTACATATTTGCTTTATCTATGCCCAGTGCCAGTGCAGTTGACGGCTGTCCCTGCGTTTTCCCACCAGCACAAGGCTCCACTTGAGCGACAATAGCCGGCTGCACCGTCCTACTCCGTCCTTCCGTTTCACCTTTTTCTGTTCCATATGGCGGCATACCGGGCTGCCTGGCACGGGTTGGCATGCGAGGCATCCTGCCATCCTTGGGACGACGCCCAGTCCAAATCATTTGCGAAAATAACCCAAAATTTTGAAAGGGAATTATGCCAGTGTTTACGCACAAATCCGAATTTTGTATGCGCTAAAAAACAGGAAAATGAGATTATAAAAAATGTGACTAAATTGTTGAATGTATGTTTATTGAAATTTTAAACTAGAAATTTTAGAAAATTTTAAATGTTTGATACAAAAAATACACAAAAACCTTTGTTAGCACTTTTCACCTTCTCTCCACTCCATTTAAACCCAAACCTTTTGATAGAGTATTATTAAGGCTCCATGCAACCCGGAGTTGTCGGCGAGGTCAATAAAGTGCCGCCGAAATTCCGCGGAATTAAACCCCAAGAACCCCGCCGACCAAGAGAAACCCAAGAAGAAGAAAGCCCAGAACTCAACAAGTCAACTAAACGGAACCACACCGATCAAAGGCAATTTGCGAACATGGGTAATTATAATTGGGGGACTCTGGAAATCGAAGAATGGGTATCGTTCAAAACGCATCACAAGAAGGTGGTGACTCGTTGAGGGCACTGATATTTGGTCCACCAGTCGGCAAAGTTCATCAGTGAGGTGGTCTCAATGCGGCGCTCCTCCTTCGGCTGATTGAGGAAAGAGCAGAGCTGGCAGTAGGGCACCGAGCTGCGGCGCAACTTGTAGATCGAGTGCCACCAGAAACAGCGCTGGTACTCCTCCGGTGTTTTCACCAAGTACTTTAGATGTGCCGCCAGATCCTTGGGCTTCGGAAAGTCGATGCTGCTGATGTAGGACTCCGGCGGCACTAGATTGGTCAGGTTTCCGCCTCCAATCAGGACGGGCACAATGAAGTTATGCATGGCCATGTACATCTGGGGTGGCACATAGTCTGGACAGGCTGTCGCATCAAAGATCAGCCAGAAGTGGTAGTGATTGCAGCTGTGGGTGGAGAGTTTACGACGTATTCTAACGACGAGCTTCCCTTAACTTACTCGATGGGACCCATACAGCTGTCGAAGGCATCTAGGTCCATGAATTTGCGCAGCTCCGCCAAGTAAAAGCTCTCAGGGAGGCTCGCCTCATCCACCTCGTAGATTAGGTACATTGCCAGGCGATCCTTCTTTTGCAAGTGGCTCTCCAGGAATTGGATCCTACTACCCGGCATATCGTCGCCATACTGCTCACTGGGGGCACGGAACGAGTTCAACCTCCTGGCCGTGTTGGTGAAGGAAAAGTAGAACTCCGACCAGACCAGTTGCGAGTCCAGGCGATAGGTCATGGTCAGGTTGAAGAACGGCCAGTTGTCGACGGGCCAAACCCCTGGTCCCTGGCCCAGGCTCAGGGGATTCCTGGCAGCAAAGACCGACAGATAATTAGCAGTGCGGTTGATTTCGCTGAAATCCTCGAGGGAGTATGGCAGATCTGCGTTAAAGACGACGGCGTCGTACGGCTTGTCCAAATGCCTCCTGTCAGTGGTGACCACACAGCCACACTCCGAGTGCGTTGGTTTCCTGAACATCTTGGATGGGTCCTCGTTCCACAGCAGGATCAGGACCTTCGGGCTGGACTCTCGTTCCCCACTCTGGCCAAGGTGACTAACGAAAATCATGCTTAGGAAAGTGCAGACCACTATCACGCCTACCACCGTCTTCAATACGATGATGTATTGGTTTGTTGAGTACAGCTCCCGTTGGCGATTCAGGTGGGACATGGGAGATCTTTGTGGAGGTGGCAGGTCCACTCCACTTGCCGACATCCAGCGTCCCTTGGGCAGAGGCCCCTTGTCAGGGCGTTTAACTGTGTCAGCGCTGAGTTGACGCGGCAGGAAGTTGGGCAGCTCCTCCATGTTCTCCGTCTGCACCGAAATGCGTCTCAGGCTTAGGATCTTGTCCACTGGAAATTGAATATTTTTGTCCATCGGCACTAGGTTTTGTCATGTGAAAATATATGGTTGAGATTTTGAAACATCGACCGATTCTGTACTTGGATACTAGGAAAAATTTAAAACTTTCTCCGAAAATGTTTGTAAGAAATTCTTACTTAGAGTTTCAAGAAGGCATCTCCGACCCAGGCAACTCGATTCAGCTGGACATTTTTTTCTCCGCGCTATGCATCTTATTTATTAGAAGAAAACGTTTGTTTTAAATATATAACACGGTATTTAATCTGTACCTTTTATTCTTTTAACTAAAATAATGCAATCCGCGGATATATAGTTTATTGCTTGAACCATTTACACTTTTGCTTCTTGATTTTGATTGAATTCATGCAATGAAATACAAATGGCCCATCATGAAAGTGTCGGGGGGATTGATGGGCGCGTTCATCTTGGAGCTTTGCACGCAGCTACACTATATAGGAAAACCCCTTTCAATCAATCAGTCGTTTTTCCTCCCCACTTTTGCATTTCCGATTTGCCACTTTCATCATCGCCCTCCTTGCCAATTCCGCCACCACTTGCAGCCTTTCGTTCGCTGTTTCCTGAGAGCAGGAACAAAGTAATCAATCATTTTGCCAAACCATCAGAAACATGACAATCTGCCAGAAAATTTGCGTAACGTTTCACGATTCACCGTTGCGGGACGTGGACAGAGGGAGAGGAACAATCCATCGATGATATATCACTGCAATTTCGAATATTCATTTTGCAATTGTTGTTTTTCGACGCCCGCTTCTCCTCTGAGCTCATTTCAAATGCGTTTCGCATTCGCGACGAGGATGTGAACAGTGGACACCAGTGGAAACGCCACTTTGCGGACGTGCCAGGCGCTGGAATGGAAGTGGACGGTGTCATTGTTTCCTTGCCCATCTTCCGCCACGCACGTTGTCTCTCAATTATGAGAGAGTGTCATTGAGAAAGAGAAAGCGAATACTGAGTGCACTCGAAGAAATAGAAGGGAATTATGTTCTAACATATATAATATATTTTGAAGAGTTTATATATTCTTTTCAACTTGAATTTTAACATTTGAATGATAAGCATTCCGCTTCTTAAAAGCCTTAAACAAGAGTCGCGCTTTTGAGTTCCTTTCGGGGTTCTGTTTTACTAAAGGTTCGTGTAGGATCGTTTTTTCTTATGTTTGAGGTGCTCCTGCTACTCTTTGTGATTATTAAATTAAATTTATTTTTTTTATGGTGTAGTGACTTCGCAATTTTCCAATTGACAACCATTTAAATGTTACGCATTCATGTTAACTTCCACAACGTGACTCTGTTGTCGGGACGAGCAGAAAGCTGAAAATGATGGCGAAAAAGGATTCCAGATTCCGGATTCCGGGAAGGGACAGGGAAGAGCGGTGACAGCCGGCAATGTAAATTGCCTGGATCCGATGAGTTATGAAAGTGAAATGGATTTGTGATTGCCCGCCGTCGCCAGACGAGGAGCGAATCCGTTGAAACGAACGAATTAGAAGCTCTGGCTACACAAAAAGAAACAAAAAACGAAATCCAAGAACCGCCGCGAACCCAAAACATATATAAATTTTAATTATTCCCGCGAATCGCAGGCGGGAGAGAATCGAATGTGCATTCTGGGATGGATCCAGTCAGAGGCTGATCCTGCTGTTGCTACTCTCAAGTCCAAGTCGGCCGCGAATGGAATTGAAATTCCATTGTGAATATTTTTTTTGGGGGCGTTGCCGGCGCGTCGAGAAAAAATGCAATAAATATGCATATGAGAGAACTCACCTTCTCCGAGGAGGTGCTTCAAAGGAGCAACTTGGCCCAGAGCGGAGTTACGGCGATTTGAATAATTTGGTTCCCACACTTTCGGGGCCCGAGCCCCGTTTTTAATTAAAGTTATTAATATGGCTCCACCGACTAGGTGATTTACCTAACCACAAGGTCGGTCAGTCGGTCACTCCCGCCTCTGACTTTTGACTTGTCTAACTTCTCCTTGACTCATGACGCAGACGGCTACTTATCGGAACTGGAGACTGCCGGTGTCCTTAGAGCCCTCGATCTCGATCACCAATTAAATGCCGCACACATTGCCGGCAACTGCTTAATTATCCATTCGATCCCATTCGATTCGATTCGAAAGGAGCCGCCGCCTTGGTCTTCTTCAACTCGATTGCGTTGTCTCTCGGCTTAAGGAAAGGAGCTAACGAATTAACATGTAATTATCTCAGCTTGGGCCAGGTTGCTGGCCAAAGGAAACGCATCGAATCACCGGCGACACCCTGACCAAAAACAAGCGTAGCGTAGACTCAGAGGAGAGAGGCCAAGGAATGGCTGATTCCACAGGCTGAGGTAGCAGCTGCCGCAGGTTGCGTGCGTGCCGTGCCGGCTTTCCCTCTGCCCAACTCTCGGGGGCGTGGCCCTTCTTAGGCGGATTCCCAAATCGATCTCGTCGGACCCTCGACCACCCGCACTAATAAGCCTCATCCTCCGAGTAGAATCGAGACCGAAGAAGTGGCGCTAAAGTTGTCAGTCGCCTTGTCCGCAGGCGACGATCCTCTACACCCTAATTAGGTGTTATCTACGACCCTTTTTTGGGCCTCGTTGCTCCTTTAATGTCAGCCGACAAAGTGAGAACGGTTGGACCACCAATCTATATATTTAAAGATCTACGACCTAGGTTAATTCTGGGGATTATTAAGAGCGAGATGAACGATTCGTTCTTTAATAAGCTTGAAATAAGTTTGTTAAATGTTATATATATCTTTAAAATCTTTGACTTTCCCTTCGTACATGACATAATTTCGGCGACTGCTATAATGATGACTCTGTTGACTCATCCTCTCACGCATTTTAGCGCCACTTGCCGGGAAATTGAGTGTAATCCATCACTGACACACTTGCCACGGCGTTGTACTTATCACTGCCCGGCACTGCCATTGTCCATTGTCCAAATCCAAATCCAAATTCATTCCGTGTCTGCGTTTCGCGCAATTGATGATAATCAACGGGAAGGGCAATTGGCGTAGACTCCTTGCCTCATTGCATCATGGGGATGACACATCGAGTCTCCGGATGCTGGCAATCAGCGAACCAGACCGAAGCAGTTACCGCTCATTGAAGCGGGGGAATGTCATCTAATTGTGACCCACTCTCGCTGATTTCCCTATGAATGCAATTTGGAAAAGTTCACAGTGGATGGTGGGGTAAACTAGATGTCAAATCTGTATTATGAGATCTAAAAAGAAAATATTTCCGAGACTTGTGTGGCTATTTATGTAATAAAAGAATGGTTTTCTGGGCAGAATCTGTTTGTACTGATCCTGATGTCAATAGTAAAGGGGTTTTCAATTAGGAACTATATTTATTTTAGATAAATCTAACCTTAACTTTCGTGGTACCAAAGACAATATAAATGGATAACCCCACACGATTTGTATACCCTTCTTGGGTATTCTAATTTTAGTCAGATCTTAGATCTTCTTGGGGGTTTTTTATGATTTTAGTCAGTGAAGGAGTCATTTCCGCCCCCATAAAGCATATATATTCTTGATCAGCACAAAAAACTGGGTCGATCTAGCCATGTTTTAGCAGAAAACAAATTTTTTAATTTTTTTTTTATTTTTGAGGTCATAAAATGGTTCAATTGTCAAAGAAGAAATTGGCAAAAATTTCAATTTCCTAAAATGTGAAATTTAGTATGCAGTTTCGTTACCCTAGAAGAAACTAGCACAGAAAAGCTTTCCGATTTGAATTTGATGCCTTTTTGGCTTAGATATGATATTTTTTATACAAAATATTACCATTTAAAATATATACAAATATTAATTTAAAGAGTGTGAATATTTTAGACTTTCCTGAGGGGTTTTATGATTTAAGTCAGCGAAGGAGTCATTTCCGACCCTATAAATCATATATATTCTTGATCAGCACAAAAAGCTGAGTCGATCTAGCCATGTTTTAGCAGAAAACAAATTTTTAATTTTTTTTTTTACTTTTTGAGGTCATAAAATGGTTTAATTGTCAAAGAAGAAATTGGCAAAAATTTCAATTTCCTAAAATGTGAAATTTAGTATGCAGTTTCGTTACCCTACAAGAAACTAGCACAGAAAAGCTTTCCGATTTGAATTTGATGCCTTTTTGGCTTAGATATGATATTTTTTATACAAAAAATTACCATTTAAAATATATACAAATATTAATTTAAAGAGTGTGAATATTTTAGACTTTCCTGAGGGGTTTTATGATTTAATACAAAAAATTACCATTTAAAATATATACAAATATTAATTTAAAGAGTGTGAATATTTTAGACTTTCCTGAGGGGTTTTATGATTTAAGTCAGCGAAGGAGTCATTTCCGACCCTATAAATCATATATATTCTTGATCAGCACAAAAAACTGGGTCGATCTAGCCATGTTTTAGCAGAAAACAAATTTTTTAATTTTTTTTTTATTTTTGAGGTCATAAAATGGTTCAATTGTCAAAGAAGAAATTGGCAAAAATTTCAATTTCCTAAAATGTGAAATTTAGTATGCAATTTCGTTACCCTAGAAGAAACTAGCACAGAAAAGCTTTCCGATTTGAATTTGATGCCTTTTTGGCTTAGATATGATATTTTTTATACAAAAAATTACCATTTAAAATATATACAAATATTAATTTAAAGAGTGTGAATATTTTAGACTTTCCTGAGGGGTTTTATGATTTAAGTCAGCGAAGGAGTCATTTCCGACCCTATAAATCATATATATTCTTGATCAGCACAAAAAGCTGAGTCGATCTAGCCATGTTTTAGCAGAAAACAAATTTTTAATTTTTTTTTTTACTTTTTGAGGTCATAAAATGGTTTAATTGTCAAAGAAGAAATTGGCAAAAATTTCAATTTCCTAAAATGTGAAATTTAGTATGCAGTTTCGTTACCCTACAAGAAACTAGCACAGAAAAGCTTTCCGATTTGAATTTGATGCCTTTTTGGCTTAGATATGATATTTTTTATACAAAAAATTACCATTTAAAATATATACAAATATTAATTTAAAGAGTGTGAATATTTTAGACTTTCCTGAGGGGTTTTATGATTTAATACAAAAAATTACCATTTAAAATATATACAAATATTAATTTAAAGAGTGTGAATATTTTAGACTTTCCTGAGGGGTTTTATGATTTA